AGCCCCAACTGCATTTTTTTTCCAGCTCTGTCTGAAGAGCATGCAGAGCTAATAAAAGGAAGCTAAATGACATGCAAATGAAAAAAAAATATATATTACTTTTGTTTTTCAATTAAGAAAAGCCAACTCCCAAACAATGCTAGGGTTTCTCTGGCTCTGAGGCGCGTGCAATCACCCTAAATGGCCAAAAAAGCAAGTTGCATCTCAGCAACAATGGTTCAGCTTTTGGGTCTGGGTCTTCCAGAGTGGGAGCCAACTGGTGCATAATATTGAGGAAGACCTCCAAGTAACTCCCCCTGTCCCAATCCCTGGATAAATGCAGTTTTTCCATTGCTTTTCTTCAGCTTTCTGGTTCCACATACCTAAGTAACATTGAAAACTAACTTGCATACCAAAACCCTGCAACACCCTTTATTAAAACAACAACAACAAAGCAACATGCCATCTCAGCTTTTAACGCTTGGCCCCAAAATTATGTTTGCTGGCAGATGGATGGAAATGCAGCAGAAATACATCTGGCTGGGATTGCTGCTCAGCCAAAATAGATGCACAAAAGACCCTCCATGGACGTGACCCTTTGTTGCTGCCTGTCCAGTCTTATGTTTTGGTGGGTTGATGTTGTCTTGCTGTCCCCATTATGGCCATATGACTTGGTAGGCCAACTCTGTCTTCTGACACTTGGGAGGGTGCAGGTATATCTCATTTTGTACTGATCTTTGGCCAACCCAATCTGTTAAGTTTGGCGTTTTCGTTTTCCCAGCAGGAGCTTTGGCTGGAAAGGCTACGAGCAAAGTTTTTGAGATGAACAGAACTGAACCAGATCAAATGTTGATATTGTACAGCTTGTTTTTTTTTTTTAATGTTGTTCAGTATCTTAAGATGTACAACATTGGTCTCTTTAATGTAGGCATGAAACGGTTGAAGGCAAGAAGAGATGGTTTGAACTGTAAAAAACAAACAGGCAATGTTGTCTTAAGCTCTGATGGTCAGAAACTATAAAATTCCTTTATGGAGATCCAGAGAAAGGCTTGCAAGCCTGAAAGCATGTCTGTTTTTACCAACTCTATCAGTTGGTCTAAAAAGATACTGCCTTCTTGCTTTACTTAGAATGAATAAAGTGATTTATGGAGACTGGAGGAAAATGTTTTTACAATTCCCATTTGCGTGCCTGAGAAGGGAATAAAATAAAACTTTATAAAGCTGAGAGTCTAGCGGTGCTCATTTGAGCCCCCTGTTTGGGGGAATAAAACCCCCTTGCTTAGGCTGGCATCCTGCTTTGCTGCTTTAATGGTTAAACCTGCTTCACAGAGCATTACTGGGGAAAAGGAAACTGAAAGCTGTGCTGAAAAGCTAGTAGGTGAAATTGGGAGTTGCTTGAACTATTTCATCTTTTAAAAGGACAAGCTCTGAACCAAGCTATGTGAAGATCGAGTGAGATGTGAAAGCTTGACAGTCATACATACAGGAAACCTTGAATCATTTCTAAGCTTCCTGGAAGATGACGTAGTGAGGTTATCATTGTGTTTACTAATGATTCCATAGCTCTTACTGATCAGCTTAAAAAATGTCTTAACTACCAGCACCTGAATCTTGGATGCAAATGGGCTCAACTGGGTTCATTCGAAATGCCTGCTGATGTCCCCTGACAATAGTAATTAATAATTGAGCACAGGGAACCCGAGCATGGCCACCCGAATGGTCTGTTTTCTTTATCACAGGGAAAAAGGTTTGCTTTGTACAGTTAATATTTTTATACATTCCTGGCAGAGCCTGACAAACTTCAAAACTCTCATAGTCCCCAAGCCATTTAAAAATTTCTCCTTTAAATAGAGCATTGCAGAAGGCGCATTGGTATGTCTTTAGGACAGAGTCTGTCTTTTTTCAGGAGGAGGAGATAGTATGAAGGAACGGAAAGCTGCTAGCTCTCCTCCTAACCCACTGTTGCCTTGAAAATGTGCTGGACTTGGGCAGGCGTTTCGATTCTTGCTAGCCTGGTCCTCCCTTTCTTGCTCTATCTGTCCGAAGTGGAAGGAAGCGTGTCCGTCATGAACATTTGAACAGCAAAGCCCCCCCTCACGCCCCAAACCCACGTGCACAGCTCTGGATTAGTCCATGGAAGTGACACTAGGGAGCAGAGAAAAACCAGACTTCGGCAGTAGTGCTAAATTTCAGGGGTTTTGTTCACCCGAGATTCCAGGCGCGGGGATCGCTGGTAGCTGGCCAAGGAGCTTGGATGGCAGCCTACCCGTTCCTCAGCTCTGCTCAGCTTGCTCTCTCCCCCCGCCTTTCTTTTTTTAATTGCATAATATGCTAGAAAATGATCTGGATTTGGGACTTATTTTTAACTAGAAGAGGCTCACTTCACCCAATCTGATTTTGGCTTTAACATCCAGCAAATACTTTCTGAAGCTCTTTTCTTTTTGCACTGAAACCCTGGCTTCTTTTGCCCTCTCTCCCCCTTTGCAAGGGCTCTTTGCTTTTAAATGTTTGTCAGCCAGTCTTGGGGATTTTTGCAAGTCCTTAGCTACATTGTCTGCAGAACTGGTGTATGACAATCAAATTGGTGTTAGACCTGCCTGGTGCAGTCATTTTGCAGGCACGGATCCCATTGGGGGAACTGGGACTTGTACTCAAATAAGGAAGGTAAGTTTTGTCTCCTAGATGATAGCTGCGTAATAAAGCTCATACGAGAGGAGTCACGTTTGGCATTAAAGATATATATGTCTGTTGCAACTTCTCTTTGGGTAGCTGGGGCTGGAAAGCATCTTCCATTTTTTTTTTTTTAAAACGAGGCAGAAATCTTCATGCCACTTTATTAGTGTTTTGTTAAATGGAGGGAGGGATGCAGGGATAAACAGGGAGCTGTCTGATCCTATTAAAAGGGCAACTGGGTTAGCGCTCCAGCACCTCACCACTCTACCTGGAAAAATGAGAGAGGAAAGCCAAACATTTGCCCTAATATGTGGAAGCAGGCCAAACGTGGGCTACTCCTCTGCGAGGCCTGCGATCCTACCCGTCTCCGCAGGACTTTTCCTCAGCTGATTTGATGCAGCCCATGGGACAGGCAAGTGAGTGTATTAACGGCCTCTGCTCCTTCTAGTTTTGATTTAGATGTGATAAAACAGCCTGTCTGGTAAACTGGGTCCATGCAGGTAGTGGGGAAGAGAGACAAAGGGAACCTGCCATCTCACAAGCACTGAAAGAAGTGCCTGTCACAGGGACTGTGCTGTTTCACCCAAGTAATCACGGATATTTCAACAAACCAAACCCTGGCTACTCACCAAAGGTGGGTAGTGGTGTGGGGCAGAGGGTTTCTGACCCTAATGCCCTCCCAGTTCAGATGTATAACATTAGGTTGTGCCTCTGTCACAGCACAGCGATTCCTTCATTCTTCTGCATTTGGGGGGATCTTCGTGTCACAAAAATAATGGTGACAAAATGAGGCTGGGACTGTGCTGTGTAGAGGAGCACTTCCAGGTGCTCTGAAACATCCTGGAAGAGACAGCACTGGGGATTGAACTGCCCTACTTACTCTCAGCTCAGAAATGATTTATGATGTGGGGCAAGTTTGGTAAAATACCCTTTGTTTCCTTCTTCAAAATCTGCCATCTGACCAGGAGAAAAGCACATGCATTTATGCTGATTTTTGTTCTTTAGAAAGCCCTACGGCATTCTTTTGTTCTCAAATGAAACCTGACATGGATGTAGTCCTGAGTGAGGAACACGCTTTGCTGGGAGAGAAGCAAAGATAAATAGTGCATCTGTAGTGATGCATCCTTGCTGTGGTGCAAAAGCTATTCTGTCTGTGGCTAGCAAGCTCCTGAAAGTCTTATGGGAGGAAGCAAAGGCTGTTGGCATTGCCTTAGCCAGTCAGAAGCTGAGGAAAGGATTTCAAACACCGCTGTGTGAAAATGTTTCCCATACCCAGAAGAGCAGGGGGTGAGAGCACAGCCCACCCCAGCCCTCTGTCAGAGCTGCCATTGTTTCATGTGCAGGCGGGGACACAGCAGATCCCCCCCGCCAGTGCAAGGGGCAGGCAGGGCCCACGCTCCCATGTGGATTCAGAGTGTGGAACTAGGGGTGCTCCTGGGGGCCCAGGTCCTGGAGTGGGGTGCTCGGTGCTTCAGGAGACACCAAACTCCTTTGAAGCTTTCTAGGCAGATGTCCCCATCCTCAAACTGGGACCCAGGCACTGTCAGGATTGAAGGCCCTGGCTGCAGCAGCAGAGCGTAGTGCAGAGAATGGTCTTGGGGATCAGACTAAAAGACCTGACGGATCATCTTCATCTGTAATTTATCTAATTCCGAGTGAAATAACTGCATTTCCTGCTCTAGTAGTTTAGTCCTTAGGTGATCAGTTAAATAAACCCACAAGGTCAGCTATGCATCTATCCTGGTGTGCTAAAAGGTTGAATCTCCCGACTTCACCAGGAAGGTTTCTCTTGGTATACAATTGCTTGAGCCTTGGTCCCCTTCCCCCTTTGCACACACTTTTGAATAAAAAGGGAAATTAGTTATAAGAACCTTGGTGTATTACGTCTGTATTCCCACGCACAGTACCGCATCAGACAGGAAATTTAAACAAACGTTCAGTATGGTATCTGTAGCTTGTGCACCTACGTACAGGTATTTGGGGACCATATGCTCAATGTACGCAAGAGTGAAATTTGCTGCCAAGTGTGCAAGGGCTTGAGTTTTATAGAAGCTGTTTGAATTCTTGCTTGGAATTTACCAGTATAGCTGTGCTTAAACACGATGGACCACAGCACTGTGTTCAGGCGGCTTCTGCTTCCTCAATCATGCTGCTGTGGGCCATGAGTGATTTATTTACGTGGACAGATTTCCACTTGTGACTGTTAGGGGTAAGCGAGGAGGGGACAGAGCGGCCATTCTGTCCATGCTGCATGTACAAGGGAGTAGATGGACTGGGATGGTGATTCAGGTGGGAAGAACAGGCTTCAAGCTTTGCTGGCTTCATTGGTCTCTTCTCTTTCCTTTCAGATATATGTTGGGGAAAGGAGGAAAGCGGAAGTTTGACGAGCATGAAGATGGGTTGGAAGGCAAAGTGGTGTCTCCTACTGATGGTCCCTCTAAGGTGTCTTACACCTTACAGCGTCAGACTATCTTCAACATTTCCCTTATGAAACTTTATAACCACAGGCCATTAACCGAGCCAAGCTTGCAAAAGACAGTTTTAATTAACAACATGTTGAGGCGAATCCAGGAAGAACTCAAACAAGAAGGCAGCTTGAGGCCCGTGTTCGTGACCGCTTCGCAGCCTGCCGACCCTCTCAGCGACAACTTCCGCGAGGCCCAGCCGGCGTTCAGCCATCTCGCCTCCCAGCCCCTTCTCCCTGCTGACTTCGTAAGCACTACGCCCCTGGAGTCTTGCCTCACCCCAGCCTCTTTGCTTGAGGACGACACTTTTTGCACTTCCCCGACTGTCCAGCACGATGGTCCGACAAAACCACCACCTCCTGCTCTCCAACCAGTAAAGGACAGCTTCTCCTCAGCCTTGGACGAAATCGAGGAGCTTTGTCCAGCACCTACCTCCGCAGAGGCAGTAGCAGCCGAAACAGCAGCCGATGACTCTAAAGACCACCCCAGCGAGTCCAACATTCAAAAGCCCGAGGGCCTCCCAGAGAGCAGAACGGCCGAATCAAAACTCATGGACTCACTACCTGGCAACTTTGAGATAACAACTTCCACAGGTTTCCTCACAGACTTGACCCTGGATGATATTCTGTTTGCTGACATTGATACATCCATGTATGATTTTGACCCCTGCACATCTGCCACGGGGGCTGCGTCAAAAATGGCACCTGTCTCAGCAGATGAGCTCCTAAAAACTCTTGCTCCGTACAGCAGTCAACCAGTAACTCCAAATCAGCCTTTCAAAATGGACCTTACAGAACTGGATCACATCATGGAGGTGCTTGTTGGGTCTTAAAATATAGAAATATAGCAACTTTTTGTTTTTTTAATTTTAAGTACCAGTATATACACTTGGTAGTATTTCCATAGTCCCTCCCACCCCCGATTCACAGCACTGTGCATGCGTCCTTGCTTGCCTTTTTTGAAAAGAAAAGGATCACACTAGTTTTTGCTTCAAGCAGAGTTGGAGTGCCTTCATCCATGTATGACCACTTCTAATGTATTTTTTTTGAAGTGGTTCCTCAAGGAAGACCGAATATCCTGGTATAGGAAAGAATATGTATTGTAGACAATGTTATGTTATTACAAAAAAAGAAAAAAAAAAAGAAAAAAATTGTAAAAGCTAAGCACAAGGATTATGTTGGGGAAAGCTGTAAATTGCATGTGCATATTTGTCTATTTTTTCTATAAGTTTTATTGCAAGAGGTGAAAAATTTTATTATTTAGATAATCTCAATACCATTTTAGCCCTGTATAGGTTGACTTAGCAATTCAGCCTTTTGGAGGCATTAACCTGCTCCTCTTTAAGTGTTGCATTTACATGGCTGTTTAGAAACTGCTGCCCAAATTTATTTTATATTTTTGTACAGATTCTGCAGTTTATGATATTGTTTTTTCTAAAAACAAATGCTGTTTATACACACAAAAAATAGCTATTTTGATAGGATTTGCTCACATAGTTCCTGCATAATTCAGATGTACAAGAACCACTTGTACTTTTATACAGAGTTGTAATGTTTTATATGTGTATGGTGCAAAAGAGAAAATTGGATCAAATAAGCCTGCAGTCGGTTTCCCTGAATGCAAACAAAAAAGTGCTTTAAGAAAGGGCTGGGAGCTGCTTCTGCAGGAGTTTCACAAGTGTTTGCTCCCTGCTGTACCCACTGCGCACTACTGTGATTCCTGAAACTTAGAGCCATGTCCTTTTCCAACACATATGTGAAGCAGTTGGCAGGAAACAGTTGTGGAACTTCACCCGAAGAGGTCCTGAGCGCCACCACGGCTGCAGCCTCCCCACCCCAGCGCTGGGGCATCCATCCCGCGTGACGTGGAGCGCCTTAACATGGCGGCAGATCAGCACTTCCTCACCCGAAGCTCTGGGGAATGGTTTTGAGGGGGAATGTGCCCATTGCCCACTTCCTGACCAACGGGCATATGTGCGGAGCGGGCAGAAGACTGGCGTTGACAGCGTCCACTCACCCTTTCTTGGAGCATTTTCCTTCCCTCTCCCCACCTCACTGTGCTAAGTGCTGAAAAAGGCAACTTCAGTATTACTGCAGTGAAGCTCATCTCTTAACTGCACTGGATGGACTTGCTTTAATATCCATTGCTGTTGAAACTGGAGCCAGTCGTGTTACATCCCTTGGCATCTCGTATAGGGTTGGTTTCTTGCATCAACTGTGTTACCTGCTTTACACTTTATAGACCTGTTTTACAATTAATATACAGACACAGCTTTCTATGCATGGTCCCATTTCCCCGTAACACCTGAGAAGTCTTCTCATTACTGCACCAATAGCATTTTTTAAGTTCATTGTGGTGTACATTTAATTTAAAAAAAAAAAAAAAGTTTGCGATGTATCATGCCTATTGCTGAAGTTGCTATGGCATTTTAGTTTTTCAATGGTACTTTAGCTGTTGAGCGCCGGTTACAACCTATATTGTTGACATGCCTATGGCTTCTTTAGGAATAACTTTTATATTTATTTAAGAAATTTTAAATTATGTTTTACGTCATTTGGCAATGTTCAGTCAATTCTGCTCCCTTCTTGTCATGGATGAAATTGGGTCTTGTCTGCCTTTTAAGGAGGCGGCTTTTTATAAATTGGCACTTTAAAACAGGCCATGTATATTTATTAGTATATAGCTAGATAGATGTAACAGATAGGCACACAGACACAGTATAAAAGCAAATATGTTTTGCAATGAAGGAACTCCTAATCAAAATGAAATGCGTCATGTACAATTATGAAATGCACTTCTGGCTCCTAATTCATGTGCCAGGGTGAGATGTGGGGCTGATGGGGGGAACTGGCTGAAGGGGTGGGTTTGCTTTCTTCTTTTTTCCAAGCCAAACTCAGTGAAGCAGTGGGATGCTGATGGATTTGCAGTTGTTTCCTTACACAGACTGGGGGGGGGGAGGGGAAGAGTAAGTTACTGCTTCAAACAGAAAACCATTGACCAAGTGTAGCTTTAGGGACCATCGGAAGTGAGGGGGTGGGGAAGGAGGGGAGACAGCTCCATCTTGCACCCAGCAGTGACTGGACCTTGCTCAGCCCTTGTAGGAAAACAAAACCGCCCTGCCGGATTCTGCACCTCTTGTACCAGGAGTAACTGGGAAGGCTAATATGCAAGGGTAGTGTGTCTGGCACAAACCTGTAGGCACCTGGTAACATCAACAGTTTCACACGGTAACTTGGTAAGCACTTGCCTTACCATGGTTAAAAACTGATTTACAATATGCTGGAGCTGCCCCCTTTTTTTTTTTTTGGATTACTTATGCATTTAAACAAATACCATATGCTAGGCAAGAGTTCACATCAATGCCATTTTTGGAGAGCTGTGTTGTTAAGCAGGGTTAGTTGAAGTTTTGTATCCGCAGAACAGGAGACGAGCTCTAAATCCACTTTACCACTCAGAAGACAATGTCTGTGTATCCTTGGTGCTGACGTGCATATCCTATGGCAGAGTCCTTACAGGAATCCCATAGGGCATAAACATACCTGACTTATGGGACTAAGCGAAAGGTTAGCAGGCTGGTGCTGCTCTGTAACCACAGCAGGCTACGGAGGGAAGGGCTCAGCTGTGGCTTTCTCCCCGCATGGTCTCTAGCGTGGCCTTTGCCATGGTCCTAACAGCAGCCACGCATGGAACATCTCTGAGACCTACACCAGGGATGGAGATTGACATTAATGTGCAATGAAGTGACAAGATGGGAGCAGAATAAAAGGGCTTTGGATTTGAAGTGATTTTTTTTGTTTTTCATAAATTATTTATTCTTTTTTTTTTCCTTCTGTAAATATATTTATTTTATTGTGAAGCTAACAACATCTGGATTGTAACATGTACAGAATGTATGGTAGGAATGTATTCTCTTGTAGGAATGTAAATCTGTATGAAAAAGGGTATGGGAGCCAGATTCAGAGAAAATTAATTGAGTTCCAGTCAGGATATGCATGGTTCACATGACTTTTTCCTGCCCTCCCCCTTTTCTAATATGGGTCTGGTTGTTTGAAATATGCAAAAAAGGTATGGATGAGGGACAGTTTGATGTTCAAAATTAGTCCTAGTCAGGCTCCTACCCTGTCAGCTTCTTGAGACTGGCTTCCCCCAGCACTCTGCTGGAATCTGCAACAGGAGACAGGAGCATATGCAATCATCTCCATCATGCTGGCCTGGTAAATGTTTGAAAAAGGTGATTTTTTTTTTTTTTTTTAAAAAACACTCACGGGAAGCCCAGCTGAAGTCCCTGGGGCTGGACAGCTGAAGAAGGTTGCAGGATGTTACTTCCAGCCCCAGAAGTTGCAACAGAGCTGACACCACCTCATTGTCAGAAGGTAAGGCCAGACAAGAAGTCACGACCGCAATTTGCACGTGCGGCAGAGGGTTTGCTTGCTCAAGTTCAAGCTACCCACGTTGCTCTGTGCGTCTGACCAGCCCGTCCTTGGACACCACAGGTCCCCTTCCAGAGCCCGACGGGACCACACAGCCCTATATGCAAAGGAAGGCGAACTTCCCTCTTCAGGAGAACATCGTCGAGCAGTGTCCTATATAAACGCATCAATCTGGCACCTTCCCTGTAGCCAGCTAGAACAGCAAGACAGTAAAGCCACTGACTGAAGCAATCGCTAAGAATAAATTTGGACCTTGTGAAAGGTAATTTGTTTTTTCCTCAATGCTGTGTGGTAATAGCCTGGGTAGTTTAAAAACCAATGTTTTGAATCCAAAGTTTACACTTTTATCACCATTAAGTTGGTTAAGTTGTAATGGGTCCTGTCTGACAACGGTTTAATTCACTCCAGCACATCATGAACTTTTTGTTCTTCTTACTGGGAATCTTCTGGTTTTGTTTTGGGGTTTTCCCCCCCCATCAGGTTTCAGTATCCTGCTTCTGTGTGAGTTGCTTTCAGTGCTATTAATTAATGAGACTGAACATTTTTGAAGAAATTAGTTCTTTTTTAAGCACTTTTTCTTTTTCTGAAAATAAGCCTAATGCAAGTTCTGGAACCTCTTTAAAAACACAAATTGCAGATAAAATCCCAACCTCGACTCCTATCTAGTTCTGAGCGTAATCCATACTAGCGCCTGTAAAGGCTAAGATTCTGGAAAAGGTGTAAATAGTGTGACATGTTCAGTGCATGGTTGTTTGAACAGGGCTTGTTATTGTCAAAAAAAAAAAAAAGGAAAAAAAAAAGAAAAAAGGCTGTATTTCCCCTTCCCCTCCCACAGACCTTAGAGCTGTGCCTTTTCTATGCAATATTACAGACATATACATCTGAAACCAGATTACTGTATTCACATGTAGGTATGGGCTGTAATCAAAAAAACAATTGGACAAATGTACATGGAAATGAGCAGTCTTACTTTTGTAGTTTTATATTATACAATAAACAGTTAAAATAAACTCTGGCTTTGTTCTTTCGGTAAGGGGGACAGACCCTACAGCTCAGCAGGAGAGGGGTCTCTCCCCGCAGGGGGGACAAGGGAGGGCCAGCCCAGTCGGACAAGAGAAACCTCACCTTGTGGGAGGCCTGTTCCTGGCCTGAGGCTTTTGTCCCGGACACAGAGAGGTGCCCTCGGTGGCCACATTCTTCTGTGGCCGTTCTTGGACTACGAGTGCCAAGAGGTGCTCGGCTCTGCCATGGCTTGAGCCGCAGCTCCGAGCCGGACCGTGTGGTTCACGCAGCTCACCTGGGTGCCGCTAGGCTAGCCGAGAGTGGAATCTATCGAGTTTTAATACCTATAATGCACTGTCCTTTAGGGCACTGAATCCCAGCAGGAAACATCTGATATCTTAATCCACTGCATTTATCAGTGCCCTCTTCCCCCCCCTCAGGTGACTGGTGTTCGCTTTCAGAGCCAGCCAGGAGGGAGATCTCACCCCTGTCTTTGGCTAAAGCCTTTTGTGGCAATAAAGCCGGGAGCGCAGCCCAGGAGTGCCGTTCGGGCTGGCCCCGGCTGCGGTGCACAGCACATGAGTCACCCCCCTGCCAGCCCCCCCAGCACATGCTTTGCCGGGCCTCCTACACCCACAGAAACATGACTGCTCCATTTTGGATTTACAGCAAACCAAAAACCAGACAGAAAAGCAGTGAGTTTTCCCCGTCCTGACATGCCGCACATAGCATCTCAGCTGCAGCAAACTGGCTCATGTTACCGGCGCAGCAGCCAGCAGCAGCCAGCAGTGGGGCACAGGCCTCTGTGCACCAGCTGCTGCTCGGGGACAAATGGCTGCAGGGACATGGGGCACTAGAAACGCAAAGAAAGGAGAAGTGGAAGAATTAAAGCCAGCCCAGGGATTGAATTTGTGTCTGCTCAGCAAGCGCCACGCTCAAAGGGGTGAAACGCACCCAAGACTACGGTGCGAATGCTTTCCCCGGCAGCTCCGCTCCCTTCCAGGCTACAACGGTGCTCGCCCTGCACTGACAGACTGCTGGCTCCTGTACACACATTTCCAGTTGTCAGTGCATCAACCTGATGCAGGACACAAGGAGATGCCACTGTTACACTCCCAAAGCTGCTCCAGTTTTGTTGCCACCTACCTTGTAAGAGCTCGTTTTCTCACTTGTGACATGTTAGTAAGAGATGCCTCTGGCCCAAAACGTCAAGGCTACACACAGAGCCCTACTTACCCCTTCCTTAAGTGAGTGGCTTCCCACCCGCTCCAACCCTCCAGCTTTCCAGCTCAGCAAGGGCAAACCATTGCTGTGGGCTTTTAAAATGGGGTACCTGCGTGGGGAGCCGATGAGCTGCATCTCCTTCTAGTGTCTGCCCCCGACCCGAAGACTCCCTGGCAGCTGCCAGGCATTTCTCCGCAACCAGCCCCTGCTCCAAGCTCGCCTACGTGGGGGGCAGCAGAAAGCAGGTTTGGGGTTCAGTGCAGGCACTGACCTGCGGTGGACGAGGTATCTCACACCGACACCACACCAGAGGACTAAGGCACTTACCCGTTTCTTGGGGTGACAGGAGTCTGGGGTGCCCTCAGGACTGAAGGACAGTCCATTCCTCTCCCAGGTGTATCTGCCAGTGTGCCTCAGGAGTGGGGTTTTGTCCTGGTTTCAACTGGGATAGAGTTAATTGTCTTCCTAGTAGCTGGTACAGTGCTATGTTTTGAGTTCAGTATGAGAAGAATGTTGATAACACTGATGTTTTCAGTTGTTGCTCAGTAGTGTTTAGACTAAAGTCAAGGATTTTTCAGCTTCTCATGCCCAGCCAGAGAGAAAGCTGGAGGGGCAAAAGAAGTTGGCACAGGACACAGCCAGGGCACCTGACCCAAACTGGCCAACAGTGTATTCCATACCATGGGACGTCCCATCTAGTATAGGAACTGGGGAGTGGGGGCGGGGAATCACCGCTCGGGGACTAGCTGGCAGCAATTGCACTGCGCATCATTTGTACATTCCAATCCTTTTATTACTACTGTTGTCATTTTATTAGTGTTATCATTATTAGTTTCTTCTTTTCTATTAAACCGTTCTTATCTCAACCCACGAGTTTTACTTCTTTTCCCGATTTTCTCCCCCATCCCACTGGGTGGGGGGGGAGAGTGAGTGAGCAGCTGCGTGGTGCTTAGTTGCTGGCTGGGGTTAAACCACGACAGGTTTCCAGACAGAGAAGTCACTGCAGCGCTGAGCAGCGGCTCCTGGTTGGCAGCGATGGCCCGGAGCTGGCCCAAGTCTGCGTTCAGCTCTACTGCTGCTCAGTATCACCACAAGCCAGTGCAGCAACTCCACAGCTGACAACAGCCACTAAGATTCTCTCTGGGCCCAAATAATTGGAAGATTGGGGTATTGCAGCCAGTCACCCAGCTTACGCAAACCTTGCTCAAGTATATGCCATGTGGGCAGAAACATACTCAAACGCAGCACCGAGGTAAGGAGGGGACAGCAAAAGGCACCCTTGTCCCACCGTGCTCCAGGTGCCCTCACCCAGGAGGGATAATGCTCCCTGCATCTAACCTGCATATCTGATCCAGACCTGGAGGGACGCACGTTCCTCCTGGTGCTGGCAACAGGAGCAAGCCCCGCTCCTGGCCCTGCCCGCACAGCAGAGCCAGCTTCCCCAGACCACACGCATCTTGTACTCACCAGAGAAACCACAGAAGGAAAAGCCATTGGGGAAAAAAAACCCTTCCAGCCACAGGCAACGCTTTGTAGAGCTGCTCTGAACCACAGCTCACTGATCAGCTGAGACAGGTCCGTAGGGATGCTGGCTCCATGGCAGAGCTGTGCAAGGAGCTGTTTCTCCCTGCCCCTTTCTACTTCACCCCTTTCCTCCAGGCTCCTCCACCTCTGCTCCCGCTGAGCCTCTGTGGTCCCACTTGCCTCCATGGCTCAGTTGTTGCGGGCTCCTCTCTCCGCCTGGTCCCCGCATGCATCGTCTACCTCCTCTCCAGGCAGCTCCCTCCTTCCACAGCTCCTCTCCCTTTTGAAGAAACTGCCTTAGCAACTGGCAGCAGGCCAGCAAGATCATGGGTTTTTCCTCCCACCTCCCCTTCTCCTCCAAATAATGAGATGGCCAGGGAAGGGGAAGGAGCCACAAAATCTCGTGTGCTGTGGCCACAGGAGCCCTGTGTGTGGCAGTGGGGTGGGCACACATACCGACTTTCCAAAACTCATCCTCTGGGACTGATGCTCCAGGTATGCCAGGTCCTCTGGGATCATGGGCAGGGAGGTTTCTTTCTTGTCCTCCTTCCCTCTTGCTTTTCCAGCCCACATGTCCCCAAAAGCCAGCCAGTTCCTCCCCAAACATCTCCAGATCTAGAGCATCTGCCAGGGGAAGGCACATCATGGGGCACAGAAGGAACAGGTTTCAAATCGCCCATTTCTGCAAGGATTTCCTTCCATTCTTCTGGCCCTGCCTTAACCAACTCATGCTACTCTCCCTGGACTATTTCCTCTCCTGCTTCCTCTCCTTTTCCCCCTATTCACTGGATTTCCTCCCCCTCCCCCTATTCCTCCCCTTGCTTTCTCTCCTTTGCGCAGTTTGGCCTACAGCCTTCATTACTGCTGCCTTTACGTCTCCTTTCCTGGTGCGAGCAGGGATGACATGGATTTTGTGCTTGTGCCAAGCTCTGCATTTATTGGAGAGGGGAAGAAAAAAAAGGAAAAAAAAAGCCCCCAAACCCTGGAAGTTTGCTAGAAGACAATACTCGGGCAGGGATTATTCAGGCTGCTCCAAATGGAGTTTACTGTATTGCTCGCAATCCCTCGGCAGAGCAAACGTGGCCAGCCAGCTCCTGCTGCCCACTCCTGCCTGCTGTGGGGGGTCTGCGCTGGGGTGGGAGGCACAGAGGGATGAAACCCCCTTCCCTCTGCTCTAATGTCGTCACCTACTACTGCCTTTTCCTGCCTCAGACCTGCCAGTGGTTAATATGGTTGCAGCCAAGGTGGCACCTTACTTCAATCAAAGGTTTCCTCCTAAACCCTTCAGCATTGTCACACTAAGCGGCCTGCATCTCTTCCCCTGCCTGTCCTGTTTGGTGGGAAAGCTTGGGGAAGCAGATCTGCCTAATAAAACCTTAAATTAAGGGGGGGGGGGAGCAGGAGACCCCACTGGGAAAAATCCAGAGGGGAACTTCAGCATTAGGGGCCATGAACCCAGGGGCCACAGATGAGGGGGGCTTTGAGTCCTGGCTGTTTTAGTAGACAGCAGCATTTTCAAGTGAGGCCAGACAGCTGGCTCACAACATGAACGTGAGGGGCTATTGATTTCAAGACAGCCTTTTTTAAGCAAAGCCCTCTGCTTTCACATCTCTCGCCTCCAGCAAATGTAAAGAAGCTGCTTCTGCCACCCTGAATGGGACTGAGGGTCACTTCAGCCACTGATGGCTGCCCCCAGCTAGAGAGAGACAAGGTAACGCTCGCATTTCGGGGCTGTGGAGCACCTATTCTCAATTTGGAGAGCATCTGTCCTGTATGTAACTCCATTTTTAAAGCAACAGACCAGCTGGCGCAGGTGCACCAGAACATCTTGCTTCCCTCCAGGCTACAGGCACGGATCTCTGTGAATATGGCTGCAAGGACACCGCTTTAGGCTACACCACACCAGGGTTTGAGGAAGGTCTGGTGAGCTGAGCTGCCAGCCCTCAGCTTTCACTGGATGAAAGCAAGAGCGGGGTCTGGACCCAGATCATATCCCCCAGGAGGAAACATGTACAAATGGAAGCAGCAGTGATACCCAAAACCCACCCAGGGGCTGGCCAGTACAGCCCAGAGATAATCCAGGTCCAGCAGCAAGACTTGATCCCAGCTGTGGACCTTTTGTCCAAGGTGAGGCTTGGGGGTCAAGACAGGGCAGCTCAACTCCAGGATCTCAAAAAGCCTCTGGGGGTTACCGGTGGATCGTAGTGGCCTCTGCAAGCAGCAGCTGCTCTGTCTCCTGCCCTCTGACACTGTCAAACAGGGAGAAAGCAAAGCCCAGGGTACACCATCAGCACAGACCCGAGCTGGCTGTGCTCCAACGCCGTCACGGTTCCTCAGACCAGTTCTTCCCGCTGACGAACCTTGCGAGCACACTGACTCACAGCTGCCTTAGCCACGGAAGGAAAACTGGATTTTGCTGCTCTAGGGGCCAGGTTGCTCCCACCTTGGAAAGGAAAAGGATTCAGGGAAGCAATAGGGCAGGAGACCTGGGGAAGAGCTGAACTTGCAGTTTGCTCTTTTTGATGTCTCAGATGCAGGCGACAGCTCTGGCAGAAGCAATGCTGGCAGCAAGGCCACCCCTGTTTAGATGACCCCCCACCACCACTTGGCTACAGCCTCAAATACGGAGAGCAGAAGCAGCTCTAAGCAGGGTTCAAAACACCACCTCCACCCCTCCAGTGCTACAGATTACTCCCCAAATGCTGCGTGGCCTCACCAGTCTCACTGCTTATTACTGTAAACCAAATTCTGGATGGTTACATTTGTCCAATCTAAGTGAATAACCCTAATGCAACCAAAAAAAAATAAAATCACTGAATCACCTCTGCCACTCAAATTGGGTTATTGAAAAGCCTCGACTTAATGGCTCAGGGATCATGAGGACACCCAGAATTACTTGCAGGAAGGAGTACAATTACGATTTGCACATCCCCGCTGCCTGACGGGGCAGCGCCTGCTGCATGGCGGGGGCTCCCGGGATGGCAGCAATACAGAACGACAGCTAGCACGTCTGTAAAAATTGCAAGCTGCTGACAGACGCTGCAGGAACAAAGCAAGGGCCGAAACGCGTCCAGTGAATCACCCGCTACAAGTTGGTTCAACCAGTTTGAAGTCCCACACCCGAAAGCAAAGACACCCCCGGACTGTGTAATCCCAGGCAAAGGAGTGGGGGAGAAAGAGAGCGAAACGTGCTGGGCCGGAGGGACGGCTCTCCAGTATGGCCCTGGGAATGAGCTCGGAAAGGCAGCGAGTCCCAGCTTGCTCCCTCCTGCCAGAAGCTCTTATTCCTGCCTCCCCTCCCACGCCCCGTGCTCCTGCCGCGACCTTCCTCCCGGCACGGCTGCCGTGCTGCCGCTCCCTCCAGGCAGGAGCTGGCACCCGGAGATCAAACTGGAGCCTAGAAAACAGGTCCCCGTGGGGGACTGGAGGCACAGGGGATGAAGTGAGTAAGACCAGGGAAAGGAGAAGGGCTCTAAGGGCACGGGACTTGCTGAACTGAAGCGTCCTCAGATGGGACGTGTGAAAAACTGACCTTTCCACAGTCCACAGGCTGCTCCTGGGGGGGTAGCGAATCTGCTTGGCTCCAACCAACTTCATTTCATGCCTCGACCTGAGCCAGGGCCAGTGCTCTCCAAAGGTGAGGATTAAAAAAAAAAATATTAAAAAAAAAAAAATATTCCTCTCCAGTTAATCCTGGCCTAGCTGGTGCCTTCCCGGTGCTGGTTCAGAGCAGGCATGGCAGCTCCAGCCTGTCTAGCACCCACGCCCAGCCAAACCCGGCTTTATGCATTATGGCTGGGCCCTGAAACGCACACTGGCTGGTAAGTTCTCGGTGGGACAGCGGCACGAAGGAAAAACTGCAACCTCAGGAACACTTAACACACTGAGCGTGTTTTCTTGGGCTGTTCTAAATGCTAAAGGCCTTCAGCTGAGAGGCATCAAGATTTAAGCTTAAATTAAGATTTAAGATGAACAGCAAAATCAAACCTATTTAGCTCAATTGCTTTCTCTCTGGCAGACTTGCAATCTGTACCAGGCGAGCAGGACCAACAATTTCTGGCTATGGTCTCTGTTCTGCAGGAATTAATCTAAACTTTTTTCCATCAGCTTCAGTAAAACAGGCAATTTGGCCCTGTTGTTCCAGAATGCCCTGCACCATCTGCAGATAAATATTTATACAGGGAAAACGCACCCTGCTGAAAAGGGTTAAAACAACCTGTTTTAAATAAATAGCTTCATGTTATATATAATCTATCACCCAGAGTAACCATAGGAAAAGCACATTTTAAATGTGTTTTTTGACTGTGGTTAACTCTGAAATTAGGGGCTTTGTTTTTTCTTGATCATTGCACTCATCTTTTTGAAGTACAGCTATCCCCGAAGCTGAGCTCAACTCCGCTGCTTTAAAACAGCTCCTAACGCGACGCCTTCTTCTAACACAGCCAAGTCTCCAAAGAAGTTAACTTGCGCCTTCTGCATAAAACGGGTCCTGCAACTGTACACCGGCCAGCAAAGTTAATACCTACCACGCAACAAGAATAAAGTTAGAAACATATTTTGTAAAACATTGCCTCCTTGTTAAGCCAAGGGAGAAAAACCAGGCACTTACTGATGGTTTATTATCTCACGCAACCCTGAGGAGCATAATAATTTACCAACATATAAATGGAGAGCTTAGTGGCAGCTGCACTACATAAACAGTCACTGGGGTGATCTGAAGTTTCTATCAGTATATCGTATATAAAGCTGGGTGAATAACTGATTTTTTCGGTTCGCTGGCAATCCTGAAAAAAAAGTTTCAAAAAAAAAAAAAAGTCCATTTGGGGTCAACTGAAACAAATGTTTCACTTTGACTCTTCAGCCCTTTACAAAAGTTAGCTCCAAAGATCATTCAAAATGTAAAGTTGCTTCAAAGAAAAAAATCTCAAAGCCTTTCATTTGGAAATTGCTGAAACAAACTAGGTTTTCTTTTCTCTCCAGAAAAAAAGTTTGGCACATCTAAACAACTCATAAAATGTTTTCATTTTGCCAAAATTTGCCTTTTTTTCTCTCAAGATTTTACCCAGCTCCAGCACAACCAATTTACACCTATGACAACTTAAACAGAGACATTAGTAATGCTGATGAAATACAGGCTTTAAAAAAAAAAAAGGTCTCAGGCACTGTACATATGTCCCAAAACTGAAACCCAGAAGAAGAAAGTAAGCTAAAAACCACTAAGCTTTTCTTGGCTCAGCAGGAGAATCTTATTAAGTCTCTGAATCGTATAGCCACAGATTTGGGACGCTGTAAAAATTAAATTAGTCTTACTTCTTATTAGCAAGGCAAGAAAGGAACCAGGAGATTATGATACAGCAACTGCTATTGTGAGCCAATTTTTGAGCGTGTTTCTGCTTTTCTCCTGTAAACCAACAATTAGTGGGCAATCTCGCTGCTCTCATGAAGGCAGTTATTTTTAATCTCGGGATGCAGGTTTCTGACTTTCCACTCAGACTCATGCAATTGAAGGATTTAATGCCATGCCACAGTGAGATTCTCATTTCAGTTCCTGATTTGTTTCATTTGAAGCCTCTGCTTATTTGTGCTCTGTAGCTGCACCTACCCAGGCAGCAGGCAAACCTAAGACCCAGGGCAGCCAGGAGTTAAACCCTTGGGATACAGAGGAAGAAAAGGCAGCCATCCATATGCACTTCCAGAAAGCAAAAGCGGAATGGCCTCACCCCCCTCCTGTTTTGCCTTTTGCTGGGAGTTTAATAGTTGAGTTCACTGGCTGCTCCATGGTTTTGATGCCTTGGGGGACACAGCCTGGCCGGCTGGGACAGGCAGAGTGCCCTACCCGTGGGCCCAGAGAAATAGATGGGATTTATCCATTCAAATTCATTCAGAATATGATTGCTTCATGAGCTAGGGGACAAGTGGGAGCGAGGTGATGTGTTTTTCTAACTGCTGTATTTCTAAATTAAGCTGGGCTGTAGCGCACCTTGCCTTCATAATTCACAGCTTCCAGACGTCCCACTACACTCCTCAGCAGAAACAGTAGAAAGCAAAGAGCAGATACTACAAATATCACACCCAAGGCTGGTTTTAAAACAGCAGAAAACAAAATAAAGGTGGTTTTTCTATTTCATAAACACACAAGGATGGGCTGCGACAGTTTGCTGGAAGTTGTTTTAACAGCTTGCAACTGAAAGTGGCTTTGAACACAGAGAAATCTGTGAAAGAAAAAAAAAAACAAAACAAAAACAAAGCAGAACTTGGACCATCTCAAATCACAACTACACTATGAAACTGTAGCCTTCCCAAGGGCAAACTCCAAAGCAATATTTAATGAGCCAATACTTCCATTTATCATGAGTTCATTTGAATACTGGAGTCCCTACATAACACTGCAGGCAGGTTTGATTTTTTTTTTTTTTTTTTTTTTTTTTTTTTTTTTTTAAAGAGCACTGTTAATCCCTGAACAGCTGGCGATCAGTACTACAAGGGCACAGCAGGGCTAGAGGCGAGCAGCTGGGCAGCATGGCACCTCTGGTCCCTTAGGCAATGGCGTTTCCAGCAGGTCAGGTGCGAAGGGTTGTCCTGCTTGTCCATCCTCAGCTCTCCTGGGAAACAGCATTCACACCTGGGAGAAACCAGCCATCTCCAACCCTGCTTCGAATAAAAGGAGCTGGAAATCCCTCCAAGGTGGTTGTTGCTTTTAACCCTGCGCACTCAGAGCGGAAGCCCAGGGAGCTCTAGCACCAGATAGCTCCATCTACCATTTCTGTCCTTCAGCCAAAGAACACAGGATCTCATCCCTTCCCCTCTCCAGCTTACAGCGCCCCACAAATCACCCAGGTTTTACGCAGTGGATTGCTAACCTGAGTTAAATGAAAGAATAAGAAAGCTTGGTTCTGTGCAGAAGAGTACGGAGAGCTGGGGTTCCTGCACGCCAGCACCTCTGTAGTCCTTGGCTGTGTTCCAGGAGGAGAGACGAGCTGCGGGGAGCTTCCAGCACACACACTCCTTCCCCTTCAGACAGGCAGGCTTGCACTTACTCCTGGTTTCACACCTCCTATCCTAAAGCTGCTGCTGCACGCTGTGCCAGAGGAACAAAGACATCCCCTTGCTCCAAATCTCCCCTCACAGCCTTTTGGAAGCTAAGCTTTCCCCTTGTCAGAGGTCTCCAGCCCAGGGCGAGCACACACAGCCTCCCAGGATCAGAGCCCAGAGACTCACTTATTTCTTGGAGAACTGCAGGCCTTGAGAGTACCAGCTGCTGAACACCAGCAGGTGAAACCTACAGGAGACATGATGTGGTGCCACTGGTTTTCCTCTCAGCATCCTATACACCACTGCAACACAGAAGATGAGCATCTCCCATGTGCTGCAAAACCCTGAGCGGTGCACTCGTGAGACACCTCTGTACTGGACCCTGGCACCAACCTAAACAGCATCCAGTACCTCACAGAGTAATCCCAGCTGCATCAAATGTCACATATATCTATCTCTACGTATCTATAATTGTGTGTGTGAATAACCATATATAACTATATATGACCATTATATAAAATAAGCTCCTAACAGCAAACTCTAGACAGGGAAAATGGTCTGGGCAGCATAAATTCTACAAACAAAAACAAATGCAAAATCCCTATTTAGACACTTAAGTTGAAGTGTTTTGCTAGAGAAGCCAGTCTTGAATTTATTCGCCTCTTTGACCAACTCCGAAGAAGCAGGAAACAATCACACTGTGACTGTAGCATCTCTCTTGACCCTGGCATTTGAGTCAACTGTCCTTGCAGGGAAAGGGCACCTGTAATTTGTGAGCTGCACTTCTGCAGCTACAACAGCAACTGCAGGAGAGTCTTTTCCTCCTCCTCTCTAGTTAATTAAGAGTTTCCCACGTGTGGGTTTGTTTTGCAGGAGAAGGGCAAGGCTCACCTCTGTCTTGTTTTCCTCTTTTCCAGTGGCAGCTCTATTTTTGGGGAACCTACAGCAGCAGCAGGGTCTGCAGTGCTCCATCAGGCAGGAGAAAAAAGCATGCCACATTGAAAGTAGAGCATGAACTCCCTTGTGATCCTGCCAGTGTTCCCTCGTCTGCCTCTACCCGTTTGGGTTGCCGAGAAGAAACTAGAGCCTATTATCAGGCCTGCTTCTTTGTCAGGTGTTTCTTTGATGTAAATTCAACCATGATCAAATGTGCTGATGACAGCAAACAGCCAAAGAGTAACAAACATGCAAACTGCACCGTGACCTGCAGAGATTAGAGCAACCAAGGCTGTAGACAAATCGGGAAGATTAAACACAAATGAGCTAAGAAGTCTTGGGAGAAGTACCCAGGGAGACAAAAATAAGCAACACAGAAAATAAGAGAACAAGGCAGACCAGAGATTGAACAGACCCTACTAGTACATAAATCAAAGTCTTCCCCCACCTCCCAACACTCCAGCTTTACCCTAATGCTTTTGCTCCAAGGAAGTCAGCGCTACACTTGCTGCAGGGAAGCAGGCTGAGATAAACCCTTAGTGCATCTTTGCTGTATTCGGCCTGTCACACCATTGTCACTGCAGAACCAGCTCAGCCCTTACAGAGGAAAAAACAGGCTTCTCCCCCCCCCCCTTTTTTTTTTTTCTGTCCTTTTTTCT